TCTCTCTCTCTCTCTCTCTCTCTCTCTCTCCATATCCTCCGCCTCTCCATGTCAACTCGGAAGCGATTCACGCTGTATAGGTGCACATGCACAGCCGCGTTCGCGCTTCATAACGCGTGCACGCGTCGCGACGCGCCTCCAACACTCACATCAACGACTTGTTTGGCGGCTCGATGACGCGGGCGCGTCACAGTGCGAGTGCGAGTCGCGTAGAGTGGCGGCTGTGTTCGCGCTTGCTACGCGCCCGCCATTAGCTTTCGCGCACATCTCCATTGGTATTCGATGCTGATTATGCAGCGCTCAATCGTGAACTGTGATCATCAGTGATCGGTTTTGGTCGCGGACTAGACGATCCAGCTCAAGTCGACTTTGACACTCGCTCCGAAATGGGGTTCACGGCCATGCAACATCGAGGGCACACATGTAGCAGCTCGCTGAGAGATTGATGAGAATGGTGGTAGTACAAGGAAGAAGAGAACATCAGTGCAAAGAGCAGCGTCGAGTGCAAGGGATGATCTGGTCCCTCAAAAGGTCGGACTATTCAAGTGCTGGATGACGTGTTACATGCAGAATGGCCATCTTCCAAACACCACCGTAGAAGCGATCGCGCTCGGACGGCCCATCGAATGGCACAAGAGACCTCAGCCTTGTTCGCCCACCCGCATCCGGCGCGCGATCAAGCCTGATCAAGCTTTCAGTTCCTGCTCTGCCAAACCTCTCAGACGTCTGACCAGATCCGTATGATCTTGCGCTTCGCTGGTCTGTTCCAACAGGGCCACTTGTAGAGCGTCGATGGAGCCGACGGCTTCAAGCAGCGATTTGCGCACACTTTCAGCTCGAGGGAGGGACACTGTAATCGTTGTGGGTGCAGCGATAGCGGAAGGGGCGAAATGCAGCGCAAGGAAAAGGCAAAGAATGAGCAACTCCGATGCGATTCGATACGCCGCAACTCAGATCCAGATGAAGAGCGGACGGCGCAGACTCACGATCGACTTGATCTTTGTCCCTCTCTGCCCATTCTTCCTCTACCAATTGCCTCTTCTCTTCTTCCTTTGCCGCAAGCGTGCGGACGACGTTGGCTCTGGCTGCTAAAGCGTCTGCTCTTCTTTGCGGTACAGTCCTTCTCGCGTGGACCAGCTGAGCAGTCAAATCGTCCGATTCGGCCGCCAAGGACTGTACGCGCTGAGAAAGAACTTGATCGAATGGTGCCACCGCTGGGAGGGGGAAAATCGAAGACACTTCACGTTTGTCAGACAAATACTCAGAGGAGCAGGGGATGTATGCAAGCACTCACGTGTCTTTTGACTTGCCAACTGAGAAAAGGTCAGACCGTTTGCAGTGATGTTCAGTTCTAGCCTTCTGCGCGCACTTGCAATCCACTATCATCGGTGGCAGGGCAATGTGGGCGGAGTAGGTCAAGAGCACGACAGTGAGCTGTGCTGATACATGTATGCGCTTTGCTTGTTCGATGGAAAGCACACCAAAGCTTTGACCCATGCGATCAACTCACAATGTCGATGGCTTTTTGGCCGACTTCGATAGCTGATCTGCTCGAAGAAGACGAGGAGGACTTGCTTTTGGAAGCTTGATGTTCCCTCTCTACTCGATCTGATAGCATTTGCAAGGCGTGCGCACGGATATTGTCTAGTATACGATCCAGATCCGCTGCGCTGGATAGGTCTACGCGCGGAAAGTCTGACATGGCGATTGGCGATGTGCTTGCTGTGTGGGCGAGGGCGAGGGCGAGATCTGGATTGCGGACGGCTGAGTGGGATCTGCGAATGGTCGATTGACAGCGTCAAGGGGGCAGAGTATGTGAGAAACTCACTTGCCGCAAGTAAGTAGATATCGAGAGCGGTAATGCGAATGCAGTCGAGAGTCAAGAGCTGTGAGTACCACGCCGATGGAGCAACTCCCCCGCCTGCTCTTCCTTGATTCACCATTTGTGGTTCTTGATTCAGATTCACGCGATTGCAAGAGTTACAAGTCGAATTCAAATCAAAATGAGCGATTGAGCTATACGCACGTTTGACTTGACTCGAGCCTCTGAGGCGCGTGTGAAGGACACGTGACTCGCTTAGACGCGTCGAGCGAGCGCGCGCCGGCGCGGTGTTGGTTGATGTAAAAGTACGCAAGTCTTGAATGACAGCCGCGCGCGGGTCGAAGGTTCATTGAGCCCGCGCACGTACGCAGCATGCAGCGCACCTGCTATTATCGTCATTCACATTGTGATTCTTATTATATACTCTCTGACTGTGTGCGCCAGACATTCACTTTGTCTCGTATCGACGGTTTGAGCAACATCACCCCTGCATGTAGTCACCTTCGAAGCGAACAACCAGCAACAGGCAGCTAGCTCATCAGCGACGCTTCTCGGTACGGTACTTTCGACCATCTCCAAAGCTCTGCACTGACGCCCCGCAGACAACCCGAGCAGATCATTCCATACCTTGATCCTGCTCCACACCACAGGCATCGCTGCAAGCTTGAGCAGCAGCATCGCGATGGCACCCACTCGCTCAGCCGCCACTCGCTCTCCCGCACCAGGAAGCGCGCCGAGCGGTATCCCAACCTCGATGCGTCGAGCACTAAAACCTTCCGAAGAACGTACGAGGCCAAGCGAGAGCGAGAGCAGCAGCAGCAGCAGCGCCAGCAATCGATCGTCCACCACTTCTCAAACACCTCGACCCGCTCAACGATCCGGCTCTCAAATTCAAAGTCAGGTCAGAGGGATAGCAGGCTCTGCTGTACCTAGAGGTAGCGCGTTGGCAAACAAGACGATGTGCTCCACATCGAGCGACAGTCCTTCTAGCGCTGCTGCTACGCGAAACACGGCCGCGAGGACGGGTCTGGCCAGTTGCACCACCACCACCACGCCGTCCGCTAGGAGGATGATGCAAAGCAACACTGGCCACTTGTCATCGGATACTTCGAGCTCTAGAGCTAAGCTTGCGAAAGATGAAAAGACCAGCGCGAATGCGGCCACGCCGAGAGCACCCAGCGCCAAGAAGACTGTAGCGACGAGCGCTGCTCGTTCCAGGATGGCAGCTGGCGTGATGGACGAAATGGATGAGACGGAGAATGAGCCGGTGAAGGTGAGCAGAGCGGTGTATCATTGCTTTGATGGATCGGGTTGGAGTACTCTGGAGCATACACGACTTGGCATACATGCGTGCATGTACGCATCCAGTCGCTCAAGGTCCATTTGCTGTGCAGCGTGCTGACCAAATCCTCATCTTTTAGGCATACCTGCGCATCCGTCCTCAAGCTCACCAAGGAAGTGGAAGTGGAGCACAAGCAGCTGCTCTGTACTTGGAACTTCTAAGCGAGACCGAGATTCTTGTCACTCCTCCTTCCAAGCGTGCCGGCGTGCTGACCGAAGATGCGCACTACTACAAGTATCACAGAGTCTTTGCGCCCGAGCTTCAAGTGCCCAACCAGCCTCCCGTACCAGCTCTACCAGTGCTGGAGCAACAGGCAGATTTCTTCAAAAAGACGACACTGCCTTTGGTCAAGTCTTTGCTCAGCGGATCTAGCGGTCTCATCTTTACGTACGGCGTGACGAATAGCGGCAAGAGCTACACTGTCCAGGGCGTACCTGGCGAAGGAGGCGCTGGGATCTTGCCCAGGACGGTGGATGTGATTTTCAACTCCATCGATGGATTGCAAAGCGAGAGTGACGTGAGTCCTAACCCCCCGTCGCTTTCCAATCGCCTCTCCCTTCTTGTTGAGCCGTTGATTGACGATTTCGCTATTACGCTGGCTCGTCTTTCATCGCCAGCTTCGACCAAAAGGTTATTCTGGCGTGGAGCGCATGGCAGCTTCGCCCACGGAGGATGCAGCGCAGGGCAACATGGGCAGCGGCATCAATCCCTACGCCTTCAGATCCTTTGCTCGCATGCTACAAAAAGCCGACAGCGCCTCTCAGCTCTTTCCAGCCGATGGTCTCGCGCAGTGGGAAAAGGAGAAGTGCAAGATCCAAGTGGACAGAAATTGGCGTTACAGCATCTGGGTGTCGTACGTAGAAATTTACAAGGAGAGGATCTTCGACTTGTTGGATGTCGACCCGACGGATCAGTCTGCTACGGGCGGGGCGACTACCGCGTCGGCTAGAATGTCGGCTCACGCTACGAATGCCGGACTGACGAGATCTGGAAGTCGTTTCGCTTCCAGCTTCAGCATCAGCAATTTGGCGTCCGCCAGCTCTGGACACTTTTCGTCGGACGGAAGACGTCAGATAGCTTTCGATAGAGCTCCGCTCTCGTTGGTCAAGGATCCAGAGACGGGCAACAAGTACGTGCATGGAGCGCGAGAGATACGAGTGAGGAACGCGGAAGAGGCTAGATCTTTGATTGTGCGAGGAGGACAGAATAGGGCCATGTTTGCCACCGCTACCAACTCGACCTCCAGTCGATCGCACGCCATATTTACGCTCCGCGTGGTCAGGGAACACGGAAGCATGAAGCAAGGCGATACGTCGGACGTCACCACCGCAAGACTCAGTATCGTGGATCTAGCGGGAAGCGAGAGGCAGGCGAATAGCAAGACGGAACAACCTCAGTTGAAGGAAGCTGGTCAGATCAATCATGGACTGGTCTGCCTCGGTCAGTGCCTCAAGGCTCTGAGAAAGAACCAAGCGAGAGCGGCAGCTTCTGTGCAGGCTCTCAATCCCATCGCTTCTGCCCGCATGGAAGGTGATTCGACCACAAGCAACAGCAATGGGGATGCTGCCAGTGAAGCTCCAAAGAGAATAGCACGGAGAAGACCTTCCATCGTGCCTTTCAACCACTCCAAGTTGACAGAAGTCTTTTCCTCCTTTTTCACGGGAGATGGACAAGCGGTGATGATCCTAAATCTGAACCCTCATACGGAGTACAGAGAAAATCATCCGGTATTGGAGATGAGCGCTTGCGTGCAGGACGTATCTACTAGCGTACGCACCAATCCTCAATTGCTCGTCGTACATCCCAACATCGCAAGACGCGCCGAGCTGTTCAGTCATTCTCAAAGCAATTTGGCAGGTGGCGATATGAGTCGGCTCAGCGCTTCACCAACGAAGAGAATGCTGCCTAGCAGCACTACTGCCCTGTCCAACTTGGCAGGTGCGAGAAACAAGAAAATGTCAAATGCCAGCGTGGGCACTTCGACGTTGGCCCTCAGTAGAAAGGAAGCGTCGGCACAAGCTCAAACGCAGACGCAGACGCACGCACAGATTCGTAAGCAGCAGCCGAGCTCGCACCAGAACAAGGATTTGTACGACGATGAGGATGTGGAGATTACGATTGTGGAAGGGCAAGGTGCAGAGGATGAGGATGAAGAAGGCGTAGATCCTTTTGTTGCAAAACTCAAGGAAAAGTACGAGGAGATGTACGATTTGGTAAGTGTGCGCTGCTCCATACCTCTAGATCCTCTGCTTCTCTCTTTCGCGCGCGAATGGACGACGCCGCTGGACTGACCCGAAGCACATGCCCTTTTGACCGCGAATTGCGAACAGCTGTGCGAAGCGGAAGAGCGCCTGGCTACCATCGAGAGCGATGTGCGAGCAGAGATGGCGGACGAGATGACGCGCAGACTGCAAGAGATGGAGCTGGCCTACTCTCAGAGATTGTTGGCCGATGCCGAGGACAATGAGAACTTTGTCAATAGGAAAATCGACTTGCTCTTGAAGGCCAATCGCGGTGCTGGTGCGAGCGGCATTAGAAGCTCTAAGATGGCGCCTGCTGAAACGCCGGGAAGGAAGCAGGAAAGACGAGATGCGGAAGAAGTCGAGGCTACGCTCGCTGTGAGTGTTTCTTTGAAGTGCATCAAATGTGCTCCGCGTCTTTCTCCTGCTCACACAGCCAAAGCACCGTCGACCTTCTTTCGAATAGGCGCTGCAAGAGGAAGATTCGTTGGTCAGCCAAGATGAGGCGAGCGAGAGCGGAGCGGACAGTTCGAATAGCGCTTCTACGCTCTTGAAGCCTGGACCGGGAGCAAAGTTGAACAAGCGATTGGCTCGTATGAGTTTGGACCGCGAGCAGGACAAGCAGGCCGATTACAGCTTGTTGAGCAGTGATAGCTTCGAAGGAGAAGATTCCCGCGACGAGGAGCTGGACGAGAGCCGTGATGAGGAGGAGGAGGAGGAGGAGACCTTGGATGAGGATGAGGAAGACGAAGGCGGGGAGGGAGATTCTACTGAAGAGGAGGAGGAGGAGCAAGAAGAATTTTCGATCAACGAAACGACGGATGAGTCTTTTGATGCGACGCAAGAGTCTGTCGAGTCAGAGTCCTCGTTTGAAGAAGCACCGCGCGCTGCTCGAAAGAGTGCGAGTGCGAGTGCGAGTGCGAGTGCGAGTGCGAGTGCGGGAGCAAGAAAGAGCGGTAGAGCTGCTCCGGCTGCTCATGAGGGCAAGACCAGAGCAGTGACGGTTAGGAACAGCGCCAAGAAGAGCGACGTGCCTTTCAGGGAGCAGAAACAAGTCTCTGCGGACGCGAGCATGAGCGACACGAGCCTTTTGATGGAAGAGCAAGCCAGTAAGGGCAAGAAGAAAAAGTGAGAAGCGAAATGCAGACTGGTCGAGATCGACGCGCTTGCTGACGTTGTTCGAAATATCTTTCTTTTGCGATCAGGAACTTGCGAAAGCAGGCGGCTCTCGATGAAGATGCGATGATCCAGCAGCTGGCTGATTCTAGCCTTGTAGACGCCATGCAGCGCACAACCAGCAGCGGTCATGTCGCTCATCGTTTGCGCTGAGCAAAGCGCTCGCTACACGGTACGCCAAGCGTGGATGCTGTGTTCGAGCACGCGATTTCCCCACGTATCAACCAAGATCCGAACAGCACGTTGCAATGAGACCCATTTGATGACACAAAGTCGAGTGCCTCGATGCACCTGCGTTACAGCGCTGAACGTGATCGTGTATAAGTGCGTGCGAGCTCAATTCCCGCCTACTTGCTCGTCCAAGAACTTCTTCCACTCTTCTGCACCAAAGGAGGACGAGCTGGCGCCAGAGTAGAGTAGAGCAGTGTCAGAGAAGATTCGTCCGCGACGTTCGATCAATTCGTCGCGACTTACATGGCAGGCTGAACGAGACCATCCCAGACTACGATGCGTGCAGCAGCCCAGGCAGACGAATCAGCCATCGTCTCCCAGACCTTTCTTGAGCCTCTGCTCACTCACCAGCGGTGGGAGTAACGTGAATTCCATTTTGTCTCCCCATCTTGACGCACCACTTTACATCTCCAACCACTTGAGATCCCGCATTGCCTTCCTTCTCCACCCTGAGGAGATTCTTGATGGCTTGACCCAAGGGAACACCCTTCTCCGGAGCTTGCAGCAGAGGTCTGCCTTTGGTCACTTTGGGAGCTTCGCCGAGCGTTGAGATGACCAGCGAGGCGAGCTCTGCTCGGATCTGGATTTTGCCCACAGAGATGTCGAGTCAGAAGAAGATGATTGGCAAGTGGTAGGGAAGAATGAGGTGTGCGCTATACTGCGCTCTCAAAAGCTCACCTGATCAGCATTCTTGTTCTTCGCAGGTCCATCGAAATACTTTTCCTGCTCCTCGAACAGAGCCTTTGCAAAGACCCAAGCAGCATTCTCCTCGGCATTGCAAAGTTTTTGCCATTCCGCTTCGTACTCCGAACTTGTACCTCTTGGTTTGGCCAATCTGGCCACTGCAACTGCGGCTTCGGTGAGCAAAGGACTGGTACTGTGCCATGGTTGAGGATAGGGACGTAGGAGAATGCGAACTTTGTTGTTGTATGCTCCAGAATTGCTGATCAGGGGCAAGAGGTGCTCATTCACACCGGACAGTTGCTTCTTGCTGAAGGGGCACGTAAAGTCTTGAAGAGCCAATCCGAGCAAAATTGTGATTGTCAAGCTTGTGTCATGCATGCCTGTCTCGACATGAAGGTGCGACATCCGGCTCGCCTACTCACCCACGTACAACTCGAGACAGTGAGGTGCCTGGGGGTCCCCAATCGCCAGGGCTCGCAGTCCAGGTGGAAGAGCCATCGTTCAGCTTGCTGATTTGGCCTGTGTGCTCTGCAAAATGAAACAGGGATGCGATCTTCCGGTGTTGGAATTCGTTGCAGGATGTCGAGGTGGTGGGGATAGGATAACATATTTGGGTGCCGGGCAGCCCTGAGCAGCAGGCACAGCAAGATGGCAAGGTGAGTCGCGTCGCGGCAGGGCTCATGACGTGCTCCGTGCGTGAGCCGTCACGTACGCGGGTGGAGGTCGGAAGGCCAGCTCGTTCTCGATCATTCTAAACAGTAACACAGACCCCGAGCCTGGGCAAGACTCAGAAGATTGTTGTGATTCACAACTGTCATGTTCACTTCGGGACTCTACACCCCTCATCGCGTGTCGCCCGATGCGCGTCCTTGCGATACGAGACTGTGAGAGGCTCGCGAAAGCGATTCGAGCGTGTGAAGAACGGCTAGACACGAGATGCAATAACAGAGACGACGAAATGATTGCATTGCTCTCAAGCCTAGTGCTACGACATCTACCCTTTCTCTCGTGTCTCCGCCCTGTTGGCTGTTCAGTCGTCTTCGCTCCATCCAGGATTCTGGTACAAAAGGGAGATACCTGGATTGATGGACGAAGGAAGTGCGACTCAGCGCGAGGTCTGCTATCTGCACCAAGAGCCACAACTTACCTTCGAGGACGTTGCCTGCTTGCAACCACCGAGCATCTGCCAATTCTGCACGCTCGCCCACGCCCATCCGTACGGGCGTCGTGTGCGTCTAGACGTGCGATTGCAGGAGCGAAGGTATCAATACGAGAATACTAGGCAGCCGCATCTGGGCGCACGAGCGTGGCCAGTTCCTACTCACAGCAAATCCAGCAATGCCCCTCGGTTTACCAGCCTGACCAACGACATCCACAGCTTTGCCAACGCGCACAGACACGGGCAGAGGCTTGAGCTCTTCGTCCAGGGTGATCAAGAAGCGTGGATACATGGCCGAGACGAGCCAATAGAGCATCCAGTGAGATTTGTCCAGGACAAAACCTCTAGCTTCGGTGAAGGAGACGAGTGTGGCCAGTAGACCGCACACCGCAGTCCGGCTCATCAATTGTCGATCGGTGTGGAAAGGCGTCAATCCGATCGTTCCCTTGCCCATGTGAATCAAACCTTGGGCTACCCGCACCATGAACAGAGAGTCCGGTTCTTTGTGGTAATAGTTGGCCAATTGTCTCAACATTTGGGCCAGACGGGCATTGTTCGTGCCCGCACCGACCAGTCCCATGGCCAAGATGGAGTTGATGGCGACATCCAGATCGTTGTCGTGCGAGTATTTAGATAGCGTGTCCAACAAGCTGACTTCTGGATTTGACGGGTTCAACAGAGCCAGGGCCAAGGGCACCGCTCTCCGCACCACGGGCTCGCCGTAGTGCATTAAGTGGCCCATGTGCCTCAAGACCATCTCGGATCCAACGTCTTCTCCCATGGCGACCAAGGCGATACCGATGACCGCAAAGCCTTGGAAAGTGTCGTTCGGCTTCTCCTTCTCTTTGTCGTCTTTATTTTGCTCTGAAGAAGCGCCGTTCGCGCCAGATGCACCCGGACCTTCTTCGTTCCCGCCGTCTTCATCATCACTCTTGTCGTCCGTGCCGAGGTGTTCCAAGCAGTCGTGCAGGAAGGTCTGGATCTTCAGCACATTGCCCGTACCGGCAAAGCTGCACATGTCAACTAGAACTTGACTCTGCTTGCTGAGAGGGTGGTCAATCGCCTTGAGGGTCTCAATTGTGGCATCACTAGCATCTTGCTGGCCCAGGAATAACAGAGCAAGCGCAAGACCCATAAAGCGAGCCCACTTATCATCGAGCTGAGAAGGCTCGCGCTCCATCATCGTTTGCAGGATGGTGGGAACTATTTCTCCTTGAGATGTGCCGACGAAGATAAATCCGAGACTGAGGGCAGCGAGCGAAGCGACTTCCATCGGTGCTGTCTCGTCCGCGACGTGCTGCAGCAACAGAGGCACGATGTCTTCTCGCGCTGAGCCGGCGTAAGCAATACCGATGCCGACGATAGCCGAGATCTTCAGCGGAACGCTCTTGCTGTCTACATGCTCCGTTAGCAGGGCTAGGGCCGCATCCATTTCCGTCCGCACGCCAGAGTGCAAGATGCCGTACGCCATGAGCGCGCCCGCTTTGATGTTCTCGTCCGCTGAGTACGTGTACTTGTCAATGTGACCCAGACCTACTTCCGTGTCCCACAGCAGGCTCATTCCTAGGCTCGCCGCGGCACTGAGCATGCCGTGGTCTTTGTTCTTGTAGATCCAGGAATTGCCCTCCTCGGCTCCGACCATCAGCCTGTCGTTGCCGAATCCAGCATTGACGAACGCGTTGACAAAGGTACTGGCCAGGTTGCCCCTCGCTGAATCGACAGTGGAGCTCAGCGTCGTGTTGGAGCTGTCTAGGTGCGACTTGTATATATCTTCAAGACTCTTGGGCTCATCCACGCTGAGCTCTTTGCCAAAGCTTGTAAAGTGGTGCGAGAGGGAAGCATTGTTGATGGCGTCGACGATCTGAGAATCCTCGATCGGCGCGTCCTCGTCCTGTAGCCACTCGATAGGTACCTGCTGTCTGCCAAGCATATACGCGAGCTGTTTCCGCATCAAGGGATTACCAGCTGCGTCGAAGTCAGACCGGATGAGTGCCGGATCGCCTAGCCGAAGCGCAATGGTCATCGCTTCGGCAAAGCGATCGTGCTTTCGGTAGATTTCGTGAGCCGTTCGCAGAAACAGGAGATCGTCGGGAGGCACGAGCAGGTTGACGCAGCTGCAGAGCGCGCAATGGAGCGGCGTCAGTCAAGCGAAGAAGGGTGACTTTGGGTAATTTTCAACACTCACCTAACCATGTATAGACAGGTGCGCTGATACGTATCCTTGTCAACAAATTGCGGTAGCTTGTCGATGGCCTCGAGCTCCAGCAAGAGGTCCACAGCATCGTGTTCCGCATTGTGTTTCAAACTGAAAGGCACGATGAGCAGTGCCAAATCCAACAGCTCATCCGCCGATGGCCGATCCGTGTTGTCTCCTGATTGTCTGCTTTCGTCATCCTCTAGCACTCTGGCATTGTACTCCTCTCCCAATTCTGCCGCCAAGTGCCGCATGTACTCGTGACCCCACAAACCTGGGTCTTCGGCACCTCCAACTCTGCGAGCAGCCACTCTGAATTTCAACGTCTCCCTGTGTCCGTTGTCGCTGTATGTCATGGCAAGCACCGAAAGAATTTCCGCAAAGAGAGCTTTGTCTTCAGATGAAGTCCAACTCGAGTAGATTGTTTTCAAAGAAGGATAGTGGGGCCGAAGAAACTTGAGCGGTTTGGGCACAGATGTCATGCTTGACGTGCTCGTTCTGATGAGCGTCCGCAGAGATTCAAGTGCAGGTCTATACAAATCCTTCTCACTCTCCTGTGGACAAGTATGGTTTCATCGGACCAATCAGCCGCAAGATCTCGGTATCAGCCAATCGAAAGCGACACACCTTCAGTCTCTCCACGAGCATCTCGAGCTCGTTCTTGAGCTGCAAATCCTCTTCGCTCAGCTCATCTTCCTTTTTAGCATCTTTGCCCTTCGCATCCCCATTTACACCTGCACCACTAGATGCACCATCCTTACTTTCTTGCTCCTTCTCCTTGGCGTCCTTCTTTTTGGGGTCTTCCGACGTCACTTGGATCGTCTGCTCAGCCTCTTGCCGCGTCATCGTGGGAGTGTCGAACGCGCGCCCTGCTGGAGGAGGTGGCGGAGCAAGAGGCAAGGTGGAAGAGCGTCGCACGAGGCAACAGTGTGAGTGCCGCACTTAAGCGAGCAGTATCAATCGTGGGACCAAGTGCTTGAGTCGATGGCGGCGGTTAGTAGGAGGCCGTGCAATGTTAAAGTGGGCGGCAGAGCCTGAATTGATCTCGGTCAGCCTCTACAGATGGAGGTGGTCATCGTTGGCTGATGCATGGTCGGTGCGCGTCGTCACTGCTCGCACTTGCGTGTCGTCCCAACACGTGACAAGAAGGGTGCCTTGGAGACGCGCCAACGTGACGAGCCAAAAAGCAGCATCCATCCATGCACGCCATCGCCCACTCCATGCCGCTAGACCACGTGGCTTGAGCCCGAACGCATGAGAATTTTGATGCCTGCATGACCAAAAAGTTGAGAAGACGAACCTCACCTCGATCCGCTCGGTGAACGCCGCGACAGCATGGATGACAATCACTGAGTTGCAGCGCTTCCTTTGACGCTCCACATCCAAATCATCTTTTCCGAAATAACTTTATACACCTCGCATCTTGTCCCGCACCCACATTCGCGGCCCTGCTGACGGTCATCAAGCTCTAGAGCAGCGGATTGCTCGTCGTCGCTAAACCATTGCCTTCAGACTTCGGACTTGCTGCACGCTCACGATGGTGCTGGTACTGTTCGAGACAGCTGGTGAGTCCCCAGCATGGTCGTTCCAGCCCATGCTTCTCTTATCGCTTTCTCACTGCGGATCTACATTCATCCTGGCTCGCAGTGGGCTTTTGCCTTTTCAGGCTCTCGGAGCCTGGCGCATTGACGTCCAAAGATTTGCACAAGCAGTTCGAATCGGCGGATTCTGCCTCGCGTCTAGTGAAGCTGAGCGCCATTCATCGGTTTCAGTCCACAGCCGAGGCGGTGGAGGATGTGTCAGCATTAGGGGACGGCAAAATGTCTAAAGGTCTGAAAAAATTCCTCACCTCGGAGATCGTCGATGCAAAGCAAAAGGAGCAATTGGTCGTGACTGACCCCAAGTTGGGAGGTACGATTTCCAAAAAGCTAGGCATTCAAGTCACTTCAGACTCTTCCGTCTTGGAACTCTACAGAGGCATCCGTCAGCACTTGGCCCCCCTGCTCTCGCTCAGCTCGCCTGATGGCGCTACTTCGAACGGCCTCGACCCTAGAGATCTCAACACCATGTCATTGGGTCTCAGCCACAGTTTGTCTCGGTACAAGCTCAAGTTCAGCCCTGACAAGGTAGATACCATGGTCGTGCAAGCGGTCGGTCTTCTGGACGACCTGGACAAGGAGCTGAACATTTACGCCATGAGAGTCAAGGAATGGTACGGATGGCATTTCCCCGAAATGGGCAAGCTGATCACGGACAACATCGCCTACTCCAAATGCGTGCTTGCCATGGGTTTCAGAACTTCTTGCAGCACGACCGACTTTAGCGAGATCTTGCCGGAGGAGCTGGAGGAAACATTGAAAGCTGCCGCAGAGATCAGTATGGGGACGGAGATTTCAGACACGGATTTGAGCCACATCTCGAGCTTGGCAGAACAGGTCGTCAAGATTGGCGCATATAGAGCTCAGCTTTGGTCCTACTTGCAGACTAGGATGGCAAACATTGCGCCCAACTTGACTGCGCTGGTAGGAGAGCTTGTTGGCGCCAGACTCATCTCTCACGCCGGTAGCTTGCTGAATCTCGCAAAACACCCAGCTTCGTGAGTGACGTGAACAAGTTGGAGGTGTGAAAAGCTAGCATCCTGGCGCTGGTTACGGTTCTCATCATCTCGCTATCTGCTCGCAGTACCGTCCAAATTCTTGGTGCAGAGAAGGCCCTTTTCAGAGCACTCAAGACAAAGCACGATACACCGAAGTACGGACTGATTTACCATTCCTCTTTGGTTGGCCAAGCGCCTCAGAAGCTAAAGGGAAAGGTGAGGCTCGTGTAGGTGAAGCCGTTGATTAGACGCGTGGGCTCATCTGAGAATTGCATCCCTTTGCAGATGGCAAGAATGGTTGCTACCAAGGCAGCCCTTTCGATCAGATTGGATGCGCTTGCAGATGCGGAAGCCGAGACTGCCCCCACGATTGGTCTACAAGAGCGAGGACGACTTGAAGCGCGGCTGAGAGGTCTGGAGCATCGTACGGACGTTGCCGGCCTACGATCGGGACCTGGCGCTGGTCCCAAACAGACAGCATTCACGCCTTCAGGCGGCAGGACGTACAACGCAGCTGCCGATTCCGTGCCTGCGAGACAGTTTGGCACACCCTCGTCGAATGCTGCTGCAGCATCTAGCTCTTCCAAGCCTATGGACGTGGATGGAGCACCCAATGGCGAGGCCAAGCTCAGTAAGGAGGAGAGAAAAGCGCAAAAGAAGGCGAGGAAATCGGCAGCTGCGGAAAGCGAGGTGGACCTCTCCATCACGCAGACGGATGCCGGTGCGGAGTTGTCAAAGGAGGAACGCAAAGCCGCAAAGAAGGCTGCCAAGGCCGCTGCTGCCGCCCAGGACGCCGGCGCGGCAGACGCTTCAGCTTTGCTCGCAGAGGAACAAAAGAAGAAGGAAAGGAAGGAAAAGAAGAAGAGAGCGGCTGAGGCTGAAGCTGCAGAGACGGATGGGGATGCTTCCAAGAGGGAGAAGAAGAAGAAGCGCAAATCTGAAGGCGCCTGAGGATGATACGCGACGGTTTTTGTTTTTCATTCGGCAGACAGCTGCGCATGCCTCGATCCTGCCTGGTTTCTTGTCGTCACTCGAGAATGTCTTCATGATGCTATCCTCACATTGCCACATGTGCAACTCAGACTCGCTACTACATGACTCTTTCGTCTAGTGACTCCTCGATCGTTGGGCCGGTGACCAGTCCTGAGCGGACATTGTCCTTTTTGCATGTTTGCGTCGATCTCCTCTGCTCTTCCGCTTCAGCCGATTTCGAACAGACCGCGCAGCTTCAGCACAACATGCGGACAGCGGCGCCATTGAATGCGTGAGGTTCGAGCTGATCAAGGGGTCTACAAATACATGAAGGAAGAGGACCCTTGGGGAGCAATTGCATGCCCGGGAAGCGATCGATAGTCGCGTTCGAGCAGCAGCGTCTCACTAAGCGTCTCTGCCATAGACAATGCCACCGCCGGGTGCCACACCGGGAGGCAATGCCGTATCAGCTCCTTGACTCCTGCTCAATCCATCCTGCTGAGCATTACCAGCTGTTCCATCCTGATTATCCGCTCCACCATCTTCTCCAACTCCAGACCCCGCACCACCGGTAGACGCGCCGCTGAGATCGGGAATTCCAGCTGCTCGCATGACTTCTGTGAACCTGCCCCATAAACCTGCTATAGGCTCAAACTCTTTTCCGACAGAAATGGACTCTTCTAACTTGCGATTGAGCGCGTTGGAATGGTCGATGATTGTACCGATGCCCTTTGAAGATGCAAGGCAAAGAACATCACGTGGAAAGATTGCGGCGTCAGTATATGCTCTCAAAGCATGTCTGACTTTGCGCACGCTGAATGGGGGGTCAGTCCTGGGGTGCGTAGGTCACGCAGCGATAGTTCCCCCCCCCCCCCCCCCTCTCGATGAGAAATCGTAGAAGTTGAACGTCTGCTCCGCTCCACCCACGTCACCGACACTTGCGCCGCCATACGAGCTGCGAGGCGGAATGCCAGCCTAGCGATTTCCGCCCAAGCGTGACGTGCCAGGCTAGGTCGTACGCCTCGCTCTACTGCCTGTTCTCATCACCAGACCAGACGAGCCCTTCCTGCAACTCTTTTGCAATGTCCTCTTGGGGGCTTTGATAGGCGATCGCACTTTTGCTCTTGCTTCCCAACATGTTCCTACAAGCTCTACTGCAAAATCGCTCACCTCTGCAATCTCCACGACCAATCTTTCCCTCTCCTTTTCGAAGAAGCTCTTTTGAGAAGAGCCTGCAGTTGGGTGCGATGCTTGGACTGGGGAGTCAGCCTGCTCGCAAGAGCATCAAGTCGAGTGTAGATTTGAGATACAAATATCAGCGCTTGCTCTGACGCGCCTGGTCATGAGACGACGAGGCAACATACCTCCATTGTGAATATGCGTCAAGGTGCCGAAGGTGCGCTGCCTGTTGTTTCTTTCTCGTACTCCCCAGTCGTCCGAGGGGGGTCCACCAGTCGGACTGAACTACTCTAACAGATGCAGGATGCAAGATTCGAAGTACGGCTCGCAACGCGGCGTGGTTGGAAGACTGAAGGGGCCGCTCGTTCTGAAGAGCCGTGCTGTGCTGATTTGGGCAGACCAAATTTACCACTTGCGATGTGTCGAGAGGAAGGAGCACCGAGCCACGAATATGAGCGAGCCGAGATCGCGTGCGCGAAATGGCAATCAAGAATGCAGCCGACTTTTTGCGGACGCGCGCAGCTGCTGCTGCTGGACGCGTTGATCTGCGCGTTCAAGGACGCGTCACGTGTCGCCCTCAACGCGCCATCTTGATTCACATTTGTGATTTGATTCTTGATTCAATTCAAAAATTGACTCAGACTCTTGTTTCTTGACTGGCTCGTGACTCTACTACTCTTGACGCTTGACGCGAAACGTGTTGCTTATCCAAAGCATCTCGAGTCGAGCGATAGAGCTGCAGATCAGACATTCACGCAGAGCTCGATCGATGGCATATGACCGAGTTCCTTGCCGGAACTTAATCGTGACCTTACAGCTTCACTCGTGACTGCGTGAGATCGCGGTGACCAATAGAGCAGGCAGCGTCGTGCTGAGCAGCACTTTGGCGATGCAAGCTATCTAGACTCGTTCGGGCCTGTCGAGCACATTCCGAGCCAAGTACAGTCTCAGGATTGAACTTTGGCGGCGATTTTCAGACACGCGTGTCGCTTCGAGCACGGCGCGAGATGAACTTTCGAGGTGACCCAAAAATAAATGTGAGTTCACTGTCACCTTTTCATTCCAGCGCCTCGTCTCCGTCGGCAATGCTGGAAAAGCTGAGCGTCTCTACTCGGCCTCTTCCTTTCGTCTCATTCTCCAGCAACTCGTTGATCTGGCGCAACGCTCCCGGATCGATCGATGCGATCTGGTCGGTGTGGTGAGAGGTTTCGAATCAGTTCTGACAAACAGTCGCATCACTTGGCTTGTTCCTTGCTTTCTCTGCGCACGACCGCCCCTCAGTCGATTGCGAAGCGAACAAGGCAACTCACAAGTTCCCAATCTTCCGTCCAATCGTCTTCCTCGACCTTTTCCACCAGCGGCAATAGCTTCTCTTTGAGCTTTTTGCCCTCCTTGTTGGACATGGTTATCCTCACGCGCATCTTTGCCCTTTCGATCGGTAGCGTGTCGGATGATTGCAGCAGCTTGATCACGTCCAACACCTTTCGCGGGTCGGGACGAGAAGCAATCGGCTACGTCTCAGCACAACGAGATCGACTAGAGACCAGACGGGAACGCACACTCCGCTCACCTGCTGTTTAGCGCTCCTGCCCGTCTTGATGCTGTACCCAGCATCGTGCATGGCCTTTTCGATGATGCCGACGGTATAAGGTCTCTGTGATCCGGGGTCCACGCATTTCTCCGCCACTCCAGTCGCAATCTCTCTGAATGAATTGCTCAGTTCATGAGAGCGTTCCTTCTCTCCCACCTGCAAGTCGCCCTTTTTTAATATCTATCATCGTCCCCCATCCATTCCGTGCAAGAAGAGGTTTGCACCGGTCAGCAAGGGGAGGGGGGCAGACATCCTCGGTCATTGCATGTGGCACAAGCGCAAACTCACTTCAAGCAACGCCTCATCCGTATTCAAACCGGGAAAAGCCTTTTCAACATCCTCTTTGCTAGCAGTCTGCCCCTTTGAAACATTGACAAATATGCTCTTGATCTGAAGCACCTCGTCCAAATCCTTCTCTACTCCTGTCCTCCATTCCCGAACCTTGTTCTTGTAACACGCAACTTCGAAACGTTTGCCGCTGCGCTTGTACCGAACGACGGAGACGTTGGTCAACTTGATGACGTTGGCCGGTTGATTGATCGGCATGATGCTTCAGGATAGCTTGGTGCGTGTTGGTCAAGGGGGTTGGCGAGGGATGAGGGATGAGGGATGAGGGATGACCAGTGAGCGCAGCGCATACACCCTCTCGACTACTTTTTGCGCAAGTCGTGAGTGAGGCTGGTGCACTCAGTGACTGCACGAGAAAGTGGAGTCGCTGCATGAGGCTAGCATATCGTCCAATCTAGAACTATCCTTTTTGCATCAACGCGGACACCAATTCCCCACTTACCGACGCGTCAATTTACGCGCTCGACCGACCGACCGACTTGACGCGTCCACGCGTTCCTTCTTTGCGCGTTGGATGCGAGTCTTGAGTTGTGAGTCTTTCTGACGCGTTTTGCCCTGAGAGGCATCACACGGTTCGAGACGCAGGGCAGGGCAGGGCAGGGCAGGGCAGGGCAGAGCAGGGCAGGGCACCGGCGGGAGCACATTCACGATTCCAACGAGGACTTGGCCTGCGTGTGGCTCAAGGGTGCAGGCAGACCCATTCGGGCCCTGAGCCAAGCTTGTCTTTGACTTGACCAGCATCTCGCATCCCTTCGCTTGGCCACCCACCACCATCCATCCCTTTCTCCAGCCTTCGATTGGTCAAGGTCATCCTTCCGCAGCAACGAACGAATCTACACGATGGTGAGTGCTCATCGCGCTCGCGACGAGGCATCGCATACTGACTTGCCCTCGTCCTCACCTCGCAGTCTCAGCAGCAAGACACTTCTCGCAAGCGTCGTCGCTCACCAACGCGAGGCACGTTGGGTCAAGGTCCTCTGGACGCCTCTTCACCAGCCGACGGACCTAGCGGGGCAGGATTGGGGGCGTTGGCAGCTTCGACTCCAGGAGCTCTTAGCAATCGGTCTAGTCCCCCTCCTTCTAGTCTTCCTCCCTCCAGCCCTCCAGGTGCGGGATTCAGCGACTTTGCTTCGGATGCTGATGAAGCTAATGAAGAGGATGTGATCGACGAAGAGAATGATGCGCGTGCACTCGGAGATGACGAGGACGACGAAGAGGGGGAAGACCTATTTGCTGAAGGAATGGAAGAGTGAGTAGCAGCAGCAGCAGCAGCAGCAGCAGCAGCAGCAGCAGCAGGCCAATAGAGGTCAGCTAGATGCAAGACTGACAAATTCATCCCTACTTGACGGCGTGGCAGTGATTATAATGGCAATGCCGCCTTGGATGCTTATGACCCCAAGGACATCGACGACGATGTCTCGGTCGACGAGATGGACCCTCAAGCGCGTCGCGTAGCCGAGCTCAAGATGGCTCGCCGTGATCGTCAAGAGCGCGCAGCAGCCGGAGCAGGTGCTCGTCGATCTCGCGCGCCTGCATTTTTGCAGTCGGACGACGAGGACGAGGATCGAGACGTGGTGGCAGGAGGTCGTCGTAGACGTCATTACGATGAGCGCATGGAAGAAGAATTTGATGCTGGAGCTGAAGACTTGCCCCTCGAACAGCTCGGAGACGTCAAGACGGACAGCATCGCCTCTTGGGTCGCTACCGAGAACGTTCGCCGCACGATCGAAAGAGAATTCAGAAATTTCCTGGTCACCTACGTCGACGATAATGGTGTTAGCGTGTACGGCCAACGCATCAAAGTGCTCGGTGAACGTGAGTACTGGATGCAGTCACCTATCTGTTGAAGAGATTGATTGATCGCTTGGTTCATGCACGCAGTCAATTCCGAGTCACTCGAGGTATCTTTCCTGCATCTCGTCGACAGCAAGGCGATCTTGGCCTACTTCTTGGCAAACTCGCCCGCAGCCATGCTTCCTATTTTCGATCAGGTCGCTTTCGACGTCATCATGCTCTACTATCCGCACTACGACCGTATCCATCCCGAAATCCACGTGCGCATCTCCGATCTGCCAACCTCTTCGACTCTTCGCGATCTTCGTCAAGAGCACCTCAATTCGCTTGTGCGCGTGTCCGGCGTCGTGACTCGCCGCACCGGCGTCTTTCCACAACTCAAGTACGTCAAGTTCGACTGTCTCTCGTGCGGCGCTGTTCTCGGTCCCTTCTTTCAGGACGCGAATCAGGAAGTCAAAGTCAGCTATTGCAACAATTGCTCCAAGAGAGGCCCGTTTCAAGTCAACAGCGAGCAGACCGTCTACCGCAATTATCAAAAGATGACTCTGCAAGAGTCGCCCGGTAGTGTGCCTCCTGGAAGGCTGCCCCGACACCGCGAGGTCATCCTCCTTTGGGACTTGATCGACAGCGCAAAACCCGGAGAAGAAGTGGAGGTGACGGGCATCTACCGCAACAATTTCGACGCTGCGCTGAACACCAAGAACGGTTTCCCAGTCTTTGCTACTGTGCTCGAAGCGAACCACATTGCGAAGAGGGACGATGCGTACGCTGCGTTCCGCATGACGGAAGAGGACGAGAGAGCTGTGCGAGCGCTTGCCAGGGACGAGCGCATTGGACGACGTATCTTGAAGAGCGTGGCGCCCAGCATTTATGGTCACGAAGACATCAAGACTGCCATTGCGCTTTCCCTCTTTGGAGGATGCGCCAAGGACGTAGGGGGCAAGCATCGTATCAGAGGAGATATTAATGTGCTTCTTCTTGGTGACCCTGGAACGGCCAAGTCGCAATTCTTAAAATACGTCGAAAAGACTGCGAGCAGAGCAGTCTTCACCACTGGTCAAGGAGCCAGCGCCGTTGGTCTCACTGCTAGCGTCCGCAAAGACCCCGTGACTCACGAGTGGACCCTGGAAGGCGGTGCTCTGGTACTCGCAGACAAGGGCGTTTGCCTCATCGACGAGTTCGACAAGATGAATGATGCTGACAGGTAAGTCAGGATTTGCAAAAATACGTCGATCAGAGCGCGTGTACTGATGTCGACTATATTGGCGCGCGATAGAACATCCATCCACGAGGCGATGGAACAACAAAGCATCTCCATCAGTAAAGCAGGTATCGTCACAACCCTGCAAGCCAGGTGTGCGATCCTCGCCGCTGCCAACCCTACACGTGGTGTGAGTCCTTTCAAAGACGCTGCGAATCTCTAATCACAGTCGCTGATGATCAAAGCTACCTGTCTGGAAATCGCGCAGCGTTACAACCCAACTATTCCGTTTGCGCAGAACGTCGAGCTCACCGAACCCATCTTGTCGCGTTTCGACGTGCTTTGCGTCGTCAAAGACACGGTGGACCCGGTCAAGGACGATATGCTGGCGCGCTTCGTGGTGGGATCGCACTTGCGATCGCACCCTCGCTTCGACGAAGATGTTGACGAGTCGAGAGTGGCGACGTCTCTAGATGCGGACATTATCCCTCAAGATTTGCTGCGCAAGTACATCATGTATGCGCGCGCGCACGTCAGGCCCAAGCTGCACTCGCTCGATCAGGATAGGATGGCGAGGCTTTATGCTGATCTGAGGCGAGAATCCTTGTCGACGGGAAGCTACCCGATCACTGTGAGGCACCTGGAGAGCATGATCAGGATGGCAGAAGCGAGCGCCAAGATGCACCTGCGCGATTATGTGCGAGCGGACGACATCGACCTGGCCATACGAACGACGGTGGAGAGCTTTGTGAGCGCGCAAAAGATGAGCATCAAGAGGACTTTGGAGAGGGGATTCAGGAAGTACCTGCACAGCAGCAGAGATCACGATGAGCTGCTGGCCTTCTTGCTCGGTGGATTGGTCAAGGATAGAATGAGATTTGCGGCCGTTGCGCAGAGGAGAAGGCATCCTGAAGAGGCTCAAGCTGAAGTGGTGTCGGTGCCGCTCAATGCGCTCGAAAGCAAGGCAAAGGAACTGAACATCTTTGATGTCAGACCTTTCTTGAACTCAAGACTCTTCCAGGCCAACGGATACGCGTTTGACGAGCAGCAGAGAGCGGTGACGAAACGCTTTGGCGCTGTCAGTAGAGGTGCTGAACAGCTGTGATGTCAAACATCGTGTTCTGTGCTGCGCTCGCGTATCCCTCCACCCCCATTTTCCCGCTTCCCCAACTTTTCCCCCGCTCCCTTCTCCCTTCTCCCCCCCCCCCCCCGAGTCTCTGATATCGTCTCCCATTCGTCATGCACATGTCTTCTCGCCGATCCCTTGACTTGTACGCCTTTTCCAGACTCGCTTTGTTCCCCCCCTTTTCCCGCGTGTATCTGATACATCCACGAACACATCACTCGCTTCTTCATCTTTGCTTTTTAGTGCCCCAGCAATGCGCATCCAAATTCTCTGGGCTGCAAGGTGTGGGGGACAGGTGTGGCTGGCCGAGGCTGCTTCGACGGGAGACGAAGCGAGATGAGGCTGAGAGCGGCAAGAGAGCATCTTTTTGGAGGAGGAGGGAGGGAGGAAGGGAAGGGGCGAAGCGCGAGTGCCGGCATGATGCCACCTCGATGGGAATACAGAGTTGGACTTTTTTGGGGGCGCGCGCGCGCGCGCAAAATTCTTGTGCGCACGCACGGATGATGGAATGTTGTGAGAAACGCGAGAGTCGCACCGGTGTGGGCGCAAGAGGCGGCCGTACTTGGCAAGAGGGGTGGGGGGAGGTAGAAAGAGAGAGGGAAAGAGATCGTGTTTCGAGCAGGAATTGACTGCGACTGCGACGGTAAATGGCCGCGTCATTCAATACACCCAGCTCATCCCCCATCCTTTTCTCTTGTTCAGATATTTGCAAATCTAGCTGGCAACCATCCTAGCACGCAAGAGACGTGTGGGGGAAAATCAGGTCAACGATTCTCGATTCGCTATTGGTATGCATTGCTGATGAGCACTTCGTTTCGGCTTGGATTTAGGGGATGTAGGTGAACAGAGCGCCCGTGCATAGAAGCCGCTGCAGAAATCGTATGGTAAAAGCATTGTGCTGGCGATGCTTTGCTCTTGGCCGAGATTCTGGGCTAAGGCCTCGCTGAATCAAATTAGGTCGACATGGCGTGAGAAGTCTTTTCCAGCTCAGCCCTGGAGATTGCGGCAAGGGAGAGGATGGTGGCGCAATGTGTCAGAGAGGGGCACCATGCTCTTGCCGAACAAACCTCCTAGAAAAAAAAAGGACGAGCAAACTCCCACTCACCTCAAGGCTAGACTGAAATCATCCTCCACATCATCATCGTCCCAATTATCCTCCCACAGATGATCAGCCCCGCCAGTCTGAGAACCAGTGGCGCCTCGCTCGCCAATCATGCTCGATCCTGCTGCTCCTGCCGCGCCCGATGGAGTGGTGTTGGAACCAATGTGGGACAAGGAGGTGGCCGAGTCTTGCCAGTCTGTGTGAGGCAACGAGACAAAGGCGCGTTTAGCGATGTTGCGCGGCAGGGCTGAGACCATGCGAAAGCTTGGCATTACAAAGTGGCGCTGTGAAGAGGGTGCCGAGACCTGCGATTGCTGGCCCACCAGAAAGGGTGCTGCGTCCCCTCGAGCATGGTCTGCTTCGTGCTCCGCCACACATCACGAACTCCCTCTCCCCCCCCCTCCCCCCCCCCCCCAACCTAAACTCTTTCTTCATACGCGCATTTTACCAAGATGCTCGATCAGAATTCTGCGATGGCTAGCTAGCTGCCCCTTGCCCGTTTCCCACTCCATCCGCCTTCGTCTCCAATCTCCACCGACTCGCCCTTGCGACTCACCGTGAGCTTCAAACTCTTCGAATTCATCGTCCTCCTCCAACACACCATGTCCAGGCAGCTCGTTATTCTGACCCTGATCACCTTGGGCTTGTGTCTGAGTTTGGACTTGCGCTTGAGCTCCACCTGCAGGCACGTTGGATCCTGAAGGGTTGTTCGATGACATTTTGGGCCAGTTGGTCCTGCAGCTTTTGGAGCTATCTATCGTCTGTGCGGATTAGAGATTGCGCGTGCGCTGATCGTCTCTCTTAAATATCGCTCTTGGATCTTGATGGTAGAGGCAGCAGAGGGACAGTGGTGGCGAGTGTGCAAGTTGAAGATCGAGAGGCAAGATTGGTCGCCTAGCTGTGGACAAAAGTCCAGCATGACTCGTGACTCTCTCGAAGCAGCCATCGCATGCATACACGACCGATTGAACGCGCGTCGGATGGGGGAGCTATGCATGCAAGCAGGCAGACGCGACGTAGCAGCATCACAAGCAGCGCACCGTGCGCGGGCGGGCGACGAACAACCTCTCACGCAGTCGGCTTTGTTCGGCCGATGACGATGGGCCACATCGAACGAAATCGACATCAATTCACGATTAAGTCACGAGTCGCCGCACTCTTGACTCTGACTGACTCGAGACTCTGACGCCAGAACTCGCGACGTCCAAGATTCAACTCCTGACAGGAATCGTCCGCGGGTTGGATAATCGTGGTGAATTTGCCATGCGCTTATCGCCACCTGTGACGAATTGATCATCGCCAGTCAGAGTCACAGTTGTAGGTCAAGACTGAATCAAGATGTGGACTGCGGACTCGTGGACATGGGGCAAACTTCACCTCTACGTCTGCCGATGGAGTTATCGTGACCATGCGCTGGCGTATCAGGCGTGTCTCGTCGCTCGCCTCGCAATCACCGAATCCGTGACTAAGCTTGAAGCTTGAACGAGTGACCGTGGCACGTTGCAAGGCGATTAGATCGATGACGACAGGATCAAGTGCATGGTAAAAGATCAAAGCGCTCGACCTAACCTCCAAAATCAATATCGAGAGAATCGGATTGAAACGACGATGATCCACGTGCGGACGGAGCGCAACAAGTCAAGAGTGCGGGACACGGCTGTATCTTGTCCCTTCAACTCGCGCCAAATCCAACGATATTTGACAAAAGCTCAATCAAAAGACCCACGAGTCGCAGAAACTTGGTTCAGCATCACCAACAGCACAACACAGCGATACGAGCCCAAGTAGCAAGCAAAGAGATGCAGAGGAAGAGAGGGAGAGAGGGAGGGAGTGAGACTTGCGTCATGCGATGCAATGACAGCTGTTGAGAAATGAGCTCGCGAAAAAGAGAACTTTCGACTTGTTGGACGCAACACCTTGACTGGGCATCGTCACTGAGTGACGGAAATCATCCATGCTTGCCACGCACGCTCCTTCTGGCTTTTGAGCAATCGTGAGCTTGGCGAGATGCAGAATTCAATTTCGCACCCTTTTCTGCGCCAAGCAGGCGTCTTTCACAAGCTGACGAAGCCGTCTCACCCTCGTGCAGCTCGGCACTTCATCTTCTTTTCTTATATCCAATCTTTTTCTGCGAGTGCCCAACACGGGAGAATGGCAGATCGGTTGGATATGCCATTCAATTTGTGGGCGCATCTTCAACGTGTGGAACGCGAGAGAGTACAGTCGAGTTCCACGTCGCCCACTTGGCCTGATCCAGCCAAGCCGGGTCGTCCATCACCATGCAGCTTGCCCAAAGCTTCCTCCCTCTGATCACAGACCGACGCCGTCATCTCGCAGTGGCGAGGTTTTCACAGGAGGTATTGGACTATTGAGCCACCGTCAAGACGCTTATATTGTCCCCCTTGAGCAAGATTCTCCCTGATTTGAGGTTGCGGGGAGATGGCGTCAGTCGAGAAAGCGAGACGGTAAGCGAAGGTACTGGATCGGCCAGTCGACTGTTCGCAGAGTCGTTGTACCTCCGAGCCCAACCCAGCTCTGGCTGACCAGTCGCAGATTTGATAGCGAGTGTGCGCGGTCGCCCCATGCACCTCTCGTCTTTTCCCAAACATCTACCAACATATTTGGCCACACGTGACGGCATGAGTCCCTGTGTCTCTCCCCTTGCATTCCCGATGTCCCTCCACCCACGAACAAGGTGGCTTTTTGCCGAGTCTTGTATCTCACCTAATTCGGCTCTTTGACCCGCCTTTTCTTTTCTGATGTGCACCTCTTCCGCCTCTGCCAATGTCACGTTCATAAATTCGTCGAAGCCCTGATGGTGGATGGATGGAGGATCGAGGATTGAAGATAAGAACAGTTCAACTACGTCGAACGCGGCTCCTCACGAGCACCAGACACACGAGCGCCCGTGCACCGGGAGAGTTACCCCTGAACTACTCACGATAATGACACCTTCCAACTTGAAGTCCAAATTATCGTACAGCCAAATCGAAACGCGCGTCTTTTGTTGGAGGAACTTGAAAATGACATTGATGGGTTGCACCATCACCCTCTGTTGCCGACTACCCATCTTTGAAAGAGTGTCTCGTGCGCAAAGACGAGGTTAGAGATGAGTGTATGCTGGGGTGGATGGGACGCTCAGAGCGAATCGGTTGGTGGAAAATGACGATGGACACGTGGGGGTTCCACTGATGCTGTATGGAGACCCACGACTGCACTGTCACGCTTATGACCCTTCCCTTGCTCGTGAAGATGATACCGAACTTGCTATGCTGCGTTCTTCAGGAGGCCAAGGCTTCTCGACTTGCAGGAAGGCGCTGTGGACGTTCCGTGTGAATGCAAGGCCTCAAGTAGCAGCCTGCCTCGCGACGATGAAGGCGGGGAAGCTGCTCTTCAAGCCGCAAATTCGGTAAATGCTATGAGACTCGGTGATGCCTTTCAGAGGTCCGCGCAAAGAGCAGTGGGAAGATTGGGATGGTGAGATGCAAGGTGGTAGCGAAGAAACTTGACTCAAGCACAATTTAGGCTTCTTGCAGGCGCATGACATCGCCAGAAGCGTGTACGGTGGTACAGTAGCACTTAAGTGGGACGCGTAAAGGTTTGGCACCGCCTGAATTTTGGGCGCGCTCAGCCATGCATACAAAGCCAGCCATTACGACAACTCGTGCCCTTCGACCGACTGCGCTTCACTTCGCCACCATCAACCCATAGTCTTGCAATCGCCCCTTCATCTGTCATCTCTCCCAAGGTACACGCCCACATTCTTGCGACGGAATCTCGGATCATGAGCACTGGGATCGCTTCCAGCAGCACGCCTACCGATACTCAACTGTCTCGCGAGGAAGAGCTGAGGAATCGACTTGCTGATCGATCTCGAGGTCGAGATGTTCGTGTGAATGGGCATCCCAGCAGGCGCAACCCTGACGATGGGCGACAGAGAGAGTCCTCGAGAGAGCGTGGAGGTGGAGTTCGAGGGGAGGGAGATCAACGCGATGAGTTGGACGATCGGCGCGGCTGGTCACGAGGCGAGAGAGAAAGGCCCTCGTATGGAGAAGGAGAGGAGCAAAGGTCTCATGGGCGTCGATACGACGAACCGCTACCGCAAGGGATGGATCCGCGCGTTCCACCTCCACGCGAAGATTCTTCAGGCTGGGCCGCCGCACCTCGTGCTGATGAAGGCTATCGATATGGCCAGAGGTCCGGGCATCTTCCACCTCCAGGGTTCGGACCTCCCCCAGGCTTTGGCCCTCCTCCGGGATACCACGAACGTCCTCCTCCTCCTGGCTTTGCTCCGCATCCGTCTCATCACGGCTGGAACGGAGCTCCACCGCCTCGTTTTGATGGTAGACCTGAAGCTTATTCGCAAGACTTGGCACCACCTAGGGAGGGTGCCCCCCCTCCAGGTGCCTGGGGCAGGAGAGGTCAAGGCGGTCCGCCCGTGAGCGACAAAGGGTACTTCGAAAGGTGAGTTGGTAAATGTGCATTGAGAGCATAGGGCAAGTAGTTGACAAGAACCACCCACGCAACTCACAACAGTCGAAATGAAGAGCGAAAGAAGAGCACATTGTCTATTTGGCCGCCTTCTCCTCGCTCTCCATTGCGCGAAAAAGCAAGCAAAAGAGACAAGCACGACTCTTCAAAGCACAAGTCGAGCCGTGACAAGGATCATAAACACAGATCCAGCAGCCGTAAGCACCATCGATCGAGCTCTGGCAGAAAGAGAAGGTACGACACGTCGGAAGATGAAAGCTCAGACTTGGAGGAAGAGAGGCGAAGAAGACGAAAAGAAAAGGAGACGAAGCATCGTCATCGGCGCCGAGATGACAGTGAGGACGAAGAACAGCGAAGTGAGAGGAAGGCGCGTAAACGGTCCGAGCGTTCCCACTCCGAAACAAGGCTCGAAGAGAAGAGAGCGGCGTCGAGCGGATCAGCCAGCGCCGTGGAGACGGATGGAAAAGCGCTGGCTCGCGTCACACTTGAAGGAGATGCTTCTCCAGCTGCGGCAGGGGGGCGACGAGTGCAGCCACGCATCGGACCTGCTCTGCCTCAATCCAGCGCAGCGGTGGAGGAAGAAGCGCTAGCGCAAGCTTCTAATTCCAAAGGCATGGGCAAAGAGTATGGGCGAGCTCTATTGCCAGGCGAAGGGACGGCCATGGCGGCGTACGCAGCCGAGGGCAAGCGTATTCCTAGAAGAGGAGAGATTGGTTTGGAAAGCGAGCAGATTGAAAAGTTTGAGAATGCTGGATTCGTCATGAGCGGAAGTCGACATAAGCGCATGAACGCGGTCAGGATGAGAAAGGAGAATCAGGTCATTAGCGCAGAGGAGAAGAGGGGCATCCTGAAGTTGCAGGCGGAAGAGAATGCGAAGAAGGAACAGGCGATTAGAGAACAGGTACGTTCCATCCACCCGTCCTGTTCTGGCAAACGCGGTGGAAGAGAGCGCATGCTTACTCATGACGCCGTTCACTTGATTTGCAGTTCAAGGATATGCTTGACTCTATGGGAGGCAGCGCACCCAGATGAACAGCCGCCCTCGGCTTTACGCTACCTTTCTGCGATTCTTTTGTGAAGACGGAAGCACGCTCGTGTGTCTCCTCCTGAAGGCTCGACCTGGTTGAATGTATGCTGCGCAGGGGAGAATCTCCTCGCGTGCAAATGATTCGCACTTCGCTGCTGCAGATGGACGCTGTGTGATGATGACTTCGCAACACACGATGTGCGCTTCTGGATGTTTGACCAGCTCCCATGGTTTTTTGCTTCTTGTCTCCGCGGCGAGACGGCGCGACGCGTGCTTGACGCGTTCCAAATTGACACGCGAAACGCGCGTTGGAGGGGAGGCCTGCTGTGTGCTGCATATCGCCTTGCATCCTCGCAAAGGCTCTCTGTTCGTGTCGTTCTTGCTTGATGCCCTCGTCCTCGCCAGAATTGGAGAACATACGGCTCTCCGCACACCCGCAATGGTCCGAGCCCATACAAGAGCTGGCTACACGATCCTAGCTGCTTTCTTCCATCATGGCGACCGTTGCAGCGACCCCTCGACCTTCCAAGCGGCCACGCACGACGAGCAAGGCGCTCACGCTTGATCAGCTGCCGAACGACCCTGCAGAGCTTCAGAGCAAGCTGCTCGAGCTCTCTGGCAATGTCCTGTCAGAAGCGCTGGAGATGTTGCTCAAGGTGAGCGTCTACAATGTTTGGGCAAACAGACGCTGTGGGCCTGTTCGCGACTCAACCAGCACCCCTGCTATCCACCTCGCCAATGTAGCACGCTAGGGAAACAAGCAATCAGACCCCGGTCGGCGAGGTGCTGCTCAGTGCAGCCACCGAAGCGCTCTACCGCGCTTCGTCCAACGCACATCCGTCTGCCACAGCCAAACGACAGAAGCAAGAAGCGACGAGGTCGCCCAGGCGATGTGGAACGTTCAACGACGGCACGTTCACCTCCGAGGACTATGCTCAGCTGGTCCGATGCGACACTTACCGCGTAGATGCTCTGTCATTGGTTTGGAGAGAACTTCCGACGCAGGACAAAAGTCGATGCGCCAGCAAGACTCTCGCAAGCGTCAAAGCTACCGAACTTCATCAGGATGCTGCTCGGCTTGCTAGAGCAGCGCTGCAACTATTGCCAGACGAACCAAAGGCATATCATAGAGCTGCTGAAGCGCTGAGAGCTTGTGGGCAAGCACAGCAGGCTTTGAAAGCGATCGAGAAGTCTCCCAGATATTCGCCGAGGGACGGGTCGTCTTGGGACTATGCATTCACCCAACTGCAAGCACGACTAGATGGACCGGCGGTGAACCTGCTTTCGGTGAGGATTCGCGCATTCTTGACGCTTCATGAAGCACTTGTGCGTCGCCTGTAATCTAGCAACATTTCATCTTACCTTTCCGCCTCCTCTTTGGGGCAGGACGACACCCTGTCCGCAATCTTCGCTCAACTCCCGCGGCGAACTCTCAACATCATCGGCGAGGTTTGTCCACGCTGGCGCTCCGTCGTCGCAACACCAGAATTGTCTCGTCACCTCACCGTAGACTTGGACAATCGGGACTGGCGCAAAGCTGCATTGCGGGAATGTCGGGCTGCAGAGCACCGCGTCAAAACTTGGATCATTGAGCCCTCGAAGAATAAAGCTGCGGCCGAGCTCTTAAAATTGGCTGGCGAGCAGGAAAGAGCTGCTTTGAAAGGCTTCTTTCACCTTCATTCTTCGATCGCTAAGAGCGGCGCTATGGCTTGCTTGAACGAAACGCACGACTTCATCAGGTGGGCTTGCGAAGCGCCTCATCTGCAACACCTCGTCTTGCCCGAAGGATCGCTGGCAGCGCGCGAGTGCACGCGGAAGACGGCCGTGGAGTTTAGGTGCAGGGTGCACGACAGTCACATTCCCGAATGCGCCTCGACTTTCAAGGATTATCTGGATTGGTATTCTTGCGATCTGCCGGTCTTACCCGCAAGCCTTTCAGCGCGTGCCTTGAAGACGTTGGTCGTTCCGGAATTTCATATTTGGGAGCCGAAAACGTGGGCATCGCTGGAACATTCGCTGCGACATCTCCGAGTCTACAAGAATGGTTTGCTCTGCGCTTTGATGGATGTGCTCTACCGAACGTGTAAGACTTTGGAGACGCTCAACTGGTGCTTCGTGGAAGATGCTGGCCTCATGTCGAGGATCATGGAGACATGCCACTATCCTCCGGACATGCGTGTGCCGGCGGCGTGTCCGCAGCTGCGATATCTTCGCCTTACTAGTCCGCCCGGCTACGGAAGGGCTCCGCTCGAGTGGTACAGTCTCAAAGAATGCTCTTTCCCCGCTTTGGAGGTCGTCGACATACAGCTCGGGCAACAGCACATGCTTCCTCTTTCTAACCTGCCCTCTTTGCGCGTCTTGCACATTCAAGCAGCTCCCAGCAAGGCCGATGCCATTCGACCTTGGGAAGATCTCAAGGTTGTGGAGAGACTTTTGCATGGATGGCCCGAGCAGCCGCCCACCTGGCTAGGCGCTGCCGAGGTTGTTGTTCACGATATCGGCGTTGCTGAGCTGGTCGACTTGTTCGACACGACGCGCGATCATTATTTGCCGAGGATGATCTCCTCCATAGTCATATGTGCATCGATCCACGATGGATTCGCGCTTCGTGCTGATGGTGCAAGTCGCACAGCAGCACCGTGCTGGTCTGCAGAAGGCTGGGTAGGCTTCTTGCGTCGATGGGTGGCGCTTCGTTTCGCAATGCATCGACAAGCTCCCAAAAATGTCATCGACTACATTTGCGATTTCGACAATCCACTTCCACTCAACAAGCCAGCTGTTCAGGTGGAGAAGAAGCAAAGCGGTAGTCCCTTTTCGCGCAACACTTCCGCCTCGAACATCACGGCGACTGTGGGACAGATTTTGCAAAAGTCGCGCATCCGGCTGCTAGAAGTCTGGCAGTACTTGGACCCTTCTTGCGACCCTGCAGCTTCTACACCGCAGGGCGTCCGAGGTGACGCTGCGCCCTTGCGTACCGTGTACTTGGCCCAGAGCGAGCTGAATCAGATCCGCAACGAGGAGCGCTGGTTCAACGAGCATGGCGTCGAATTCGTCCTGATGAAGCCCACAGCGAATGCAGCCTAGGCGTATTCAAGCGGGCCTAGAATGATTGCGCATTTGGCTGCCGAGAGCGCGTTGATGCCTCAGACGAGGACTCATGCCGGAACGGGTCGAAATTTTGCCCGATCGAAAGTTCCCAGCCATTACCCCTCCCCACCCTTACCTTTGCGTGTAACCCAATCAGCCCTCATACCAAGACTGCTTGTATTTGCGAATACATGCCATATGATACCAAGTGCACGCGCAGCGCATGGCGTGACCCCAGCAGACGGGCATTCTGAGCAGGACGACTGTGCACAATTTGAAAGGAGTCGTCGATTGAGAATTGAATGTACATCTATCCAACACCGAGAACAGTTTGGGGGGTGGGGAGGGGTTTTCTTACGCCTGCCACATGATGGATATGGGAATGGATCACGCAGGTGTAAGCTTTCGAAATGATTCGGGGCAACGAAGAGCCAGCAAAATGTCGTACTCACGTAGCCCACGAATTCATAGTCGATCCCCTCGGCTTTCAAAGCTGCCTTTTTCTTCTCTTGCCTATCGAGCAGCTTCCTCTCGACCTCTGCTCGCTGCTCCGCATTTCGAGGCTGGAAAGAGTGTGGCAAGGGGAGCAGAGTCAGCGACAGAGATGGCAAGCTGCGTTCGGTTTGGTGTGTGCCAAGGGGGCCACACATCCCAAACTCACCTTGTCGTGCTGCACCCTGGCCAACCTATCTCTTGGGATCTTTCTAAAAGTGCGATTTGCCCCGATCCACATGGAAGGATGAACCCTAGCAGCAGGCACCTGTCTAACTTGCAACAACCTTCCCTCGATCAGATAGTTATCCATCGTCTCCTGAACAATCTTTGCCACTTCGCCATCCTCAAACTCTACAAACGCATAATGCTTTGAAGCGCCCGTCCTCTTATTCCTCGACAATCTCAACCTGTTCACTTTTCCAAATTGTTCCAAGTAAGATCTCAATGCTGGTTCGATGAAGTGTTTGGGAAGTCGACCAAAGTAGAGCACGGAAGGGATGGATGCGATGGAGCTTCCTTTGAGGTTCTTTTTGCGCGCTACCGCATCCAATCTCGCTTTGACGTCTGCATCTTGTTTGCTGCTAGGCAACCTGACCAGCTCGCCCACAGCCAGCGATTTGTCCAACACCTCCTCCTCCTCTTCCTCCTCTGAATCGTCCGAGTCGCTCTCCAATCCAGACTCGCTAGCGCTCACTGATAAACCTCTCAAGATGGTCTCGTCACCTCCCGCATCTACCTCCGAGTCCTCGGCGTCTTCTTCGTCAGAGATGACCAGTTCAGAAGCTACGAGGGGCGATTTGCTCTTGCTCTTGAGGGACTGTGATTGTTTCTTTGGTCTGGTAGATGATTCTTGCCCATCCGATCTGGTGCGCTTCTTGCCTCCACTCGTCTCTGTCGTCCCTTTGATCATCTTTCGACTCTGGCCCTCGCTCCATCCATTCGTTCCAACATCCTTCGACACCTCTTTCGCTTTGCGCGCAGCTTCGCTAGGTTTTGCAAGTCTAGCTTTAGGTTTCGCTTCGGCGTCCAAGTTTTTATCTTTTTTTGCAGTCGTAGCCTTGCGTTGGATTGTAGCGGGAGAGGAAGAAGAGCTGCTGGCGTCTGTGGAAGATGTTTTGCCCTTGCCCTTGCCTTTCAGAGTGGAAGAGGTCGGCTCGGTGGTCGTCACCTTGGCGCCCTTGCGCGTAGGTCTGGCTGCTGAGGGCATCTTGACGCCGTGCAAGTTAGTGGGGCAGGGCTTGATTTCTCACTCGGCGCGAGCTGATTTGATCAGGCAAAAGTGTGCGTCTCAAAAGTTCCAGGTGGCGAAGAAATGACAGAGCAAGTAGCGGGCACTACTTTGAACCGATGATTGTGGAAGAGGGAATAATGGTCAGGACAGATGGGTAGAGGAAGAGGCAGTAGCAGCAATCTCTCACACTGTGGGACTGCACTTGCGAAGGCGCACTCGCGATTCGTGAGTTCTGATGAAGTTTGCGCGGAAGCTGAAGAAATTACAAAAATTGGATTGAGATTGCACGTCACGTGACATTGTCATCAATTTGAATGCGATTCAGAGAAGCCGCTTGTTTGGCAGCACCGCTCACCAGATTCGTGATTCTTGATTCGACATCCACACTCATCAGACAGACAGACTATACTCTCTTCTTCTGACTCTTGAGCATTCAATTCCAAATTGTGATTGCTTCCACTTGATCGCCTTGACTCGCACTCAATTTGAAGGGCACACGACGTTGGCTGCGATTCAGCAATGCCGAGTCGAGTCGAGTCGAGTCGAGTCGAGTCGGACGAAAGCAATCCAAAAGACTCTCTTTCCCGTATTCTCCACCCTTCCTCTGCACTCAGACTGGCAAATATGCGCAGCAATCAACAGATGAACAAAGCAACGGCGCACCTCGTCGCTCGGTCATCGTGATTGGGGCTGAAAAAGAGTCATCAATCAGAGTTCTCGAATCTCGTGTGTGCTTCCGCATACCAAATCGTGCAGGCAAGCAAGGAACGCGCAGCAAAGCTTCCACCGCTCCTTCTCCAGCGCCTCGTGCATCATTGCCAACGCGAATTGGGCCCTGGCGATCGCCGAGTTACCCTCGTCCTTCAACCCTTGCGACGATTGTGGATAAATTACGCGACTCGGACGCGAGGATCCTTTCACGCCATCCATTGATGCGCAACATCGACGAGTCAGTATTCGAGCTTTGGAAGATGAATTGACACGGTCGAGATGACTACTGTACATGGAAGTAGATGAGAGGGCGAGCCTTGGGCAAAGGAAAAAAAAAAAGACAACAAGAATCCTTAAGCAAGCATTCAAATTGACTTGGCGAACAGGGCGAGACGGACGTGAGAGTATTCACGTGATTCTAGACCTGCACATTGAGTTTCTGTCGAATGACCGACATGTACTCTCCTGCGACGCGACACGCGGTTCGGATGCTCGCGGGTCAGTCGATGCGACGGAAAGGGCGTGCTGGGTCCACTCTAGACAAGGACACTCACGTGCTCGAGCCTTGATCACCTCGCTCTCCTGCTTCATGTACGCTACGTGAGCGTCGTATGCGCGCATCAAGTCGGTGTACTGCGACGTTCAAGCATGGGGCATATCGGTATGAGCACAGCACACGCAGCAGTGAAACTGGCCCAGCTCATCCCGCGCAACTCACCTCCTTCTCGTACGCGTCAGCCTCTTGCACTTTGCCCTTTTCCTCCTCTGACCTCTTGCCCTTCTCCTTCGAAAGTCGATCAAATTCAGCCTCGACCTCCAAAGCTCTCTTCTTCTCCTCCGCTCTTCTCGTCTCGATGCTCTTGTTGAGCCTCTCGATGCGCTGCGTCAGGCTGGCCAATCGTCTAGCCACCAAGTCCTTCTTCAGCTCGATCTCGTCCCTCGCTCTCTGATTATCCGCAAAAGTAGCCAACGCATGATCCCTAGCCGCTTCTTCCTGCGCATACTTTTGCGTCTGTTCCAGCACTCTCTGCAACAGACCCTGCGCCGATTTCGTCTCCGTCTCTACACCCTGCAACACCTTTTGCTTCTCTTGAAGCTCTCGAATCTTGCGCTGACTATCGCCCAAAGACACCTTGTCCTGCTTGTATCGCTCTTCCAACTCTGACAACATCTCTCTCAGCTTGTTGGGTGACTCGATCGCTCGATTCTGGTACCGCCTGATATCGGCAATGGCAGTGTTGAGCTTGAACTGGAGATCTAGCAACTTTTGAGTCAAGTCTCCCTTTTCCGTCTTGAACACGTCGTGCTCTTGCATCAGCGTGCCTTGCTCCTTCTTGAGACCCAACAGCTTGTCGGACAGACGAGCGTTCTCATCCCTCAGCGCAAGCACCTTGGGCTGTTCCGCCGCTCGTTGCTCCCTGTGGGGGTACATTGTCCGCACGATGCTTGTCAGCACGTTGCGCGCGCGCACACACCGCGTGGGAAGGCATCTGATGAGACGCCAAACTCACGTCTGGTTGCGAAGCTCGTTGCGCAGCACATCCACGCTCTTGACCAGATCCTCTCTTCGGTCCAGCAGCTGATCGCCATCCCGAGCCGCATCGTCGAATTCGATGACGCGATCTTGACTGAATCGCCAAAAGTTAGAGAGAGCAGACAGGTGATTCTTGAACCTCTTTGCCGTCGGTTTGGTCAAGTCTGCCATTGCGAAATCTTGAATCGTTGCGTGCGTCATCATTGCTCGACTATCGTGGTGCACGGGGTGGGGCCGGTTTGGCTGCGCGTCAGCAAAAAGAAATGTGTACCTTGCGTGCGCACTGGCCGCTCAAACCTCGACTCACATTTCACGAAAGAGCAACATGTGGTGCACGCCTTCTTCATACAGTTCC